TAAATGTAAGGGTAAAAGTGTCTTTTTAAATCCGAATGAATAATATTTTATGGCATTTTTTGTAAGAAAAATGCCATTGTGGCATTTTATGTAATTTTTGATATATTATAGAATTTTTGGAAAATTTCCTTAAAAATTATATTTTTATTAGCAATAAAATAATATAATAAATTTTTTCTTGTAGTTTTTTTTTTTTTGGGTCAAAATCTTGTAGTTTAAGAACATAATTTTTAAGTTACAAGAATTATAAGAATATGTGAAATTAAATGAAACTTGAAATAGATTTTATGATGTGGATAATATAAGAAGAGTTAAAAATTCACCTTTTATACAAAGGAGATATATAATTACGGAAAAATAGCGTTTATTTTATTCTTATCAAAAAGTCATGTTGACTTTGCGTCATTTTTTATAATTATCAGTAGCGTCATTTTGACGTAGCATTTTGATGTTGACGTTGCGTCATTTTGACGCAGCATTTTTTATAATTATCATTAGCGTCATTGTGAAGTTGAATCCTTTACTATATATAATAACACAACCATTACTTTTCATTATCATCATCACAAATCACATATTTCTCTCTCTCTCTCTATCGTTTTTGTAACATGTCAAACTCAGCCATGAACGTGCAAGAAGCTATGAAGAAACAAAACGATGCCGCAATGATCCTTTCGTGGCATGTCTTCTCTACAGTTGCCAAACGCTCTAACGGCGTTTTCTCGCCGGCGTCAATCAACGCCGCGCTCACCATGATGATCTCTGGTCCCGGCGGTGACTTACTCTCCAGTGTAGTCCTCTCCTTTCTTAAATCGTATTCCATCGACGAGCTAAACGCTGTTTTCAGCGTTTTGGCTTCCTTTGTGTTTGCGGATGGTAGCACTTTTGGCGGACCAACCATTAAAGTTGCGAATGGCGTTTGGATCGAGCAATCATTCCCGATTGATCCATCTTTCAAGAATCTCTTCTTGAATTTCTTCAAAGCTCAGTTCTCTCCCGTAGATTTCAGATCAAAGGTAATTAATTAAATCC